GGTAAATTAGTACCTATCCAGGTATTTTATTAATTTAATCTGATTCGATACTTTTATTATGCTGTCTACTTTATTATGTTCACCGAATATTTTCCATTAATATCGCAACACAAATGAGGACTTCGTTCACTATTTCTGATACGTTTCACGTTATTGATTTCTATGTTTTATTTTTATTTTAATATTTTGTACGATTATCTTTACTTTAAAAATTCTACCTTGCAAACAGGAAAATGCAGATTGAAACGAGCACACAAGGTTTAAGTCTTCAGACTCTACTAATGCAACTTTGTACAAATTAACTTACAGTCGGTCAAGTAAGAGCGTGGCCGGGTTAATTTATAAAAATAATTATTTTATGAAACTTCAATATTTATATATGCATTGTATACGTTAAAAGCAAGGATGCAATTTGGTCAATATGTGTCCAGTCACCACCGGAGTGGACAATTGGCTGGCATCTCCGACGCCTGCTTTTTACTAATTTAACGGATTATTTTAGTCTGACGGCTCTATGAGGGGCAGGGGATTTCAATTTAACGGCTCAATGAGGGCAGTACGTGCTCATATAGAACTTTCATCAGTGAAAATAACATTTTCAAAATCTCTAACAATATTTTCATGTGCTCAAGCGGAAAAGAAGCACATGTTTTTCAGTCGTCAGAGGCTTTCCCTTCGTGTTGCGCCATTTTAGATCATGAATACAAAGAAAAATTCAGATAGTTTTGTAGATATTTTTGTAGATATTTCTAAACATTTTGCCATTAATTTTGCTCGTCCTTGCTGCAGTGTTAAAGCAGGATTCCGTAAATACCCATTCACTGTTCTTTTTTCTTCTTTTTTATTTGAACCACGTTCTGATAAGTCATCGACATTTTTAGCATTTTTATATAGGTGTATCGAATTCTGTACAAATGTCTTCAACTTTCTTATATGTTTAGCAGCAGCTGATTGCTACATTTGGGTACCTTTAAGGTACATGCAAAAGGGCGCAGCCTCGTAGCGCGACGCGCAACTTAGCACTCATGGCGTTTAACGTAATTTTTTCTCAAAAGATCAACTGCAACTAAACCTTTTTTGACAATGCATCAAGGACAAAGCTTCACTTTATCGGCTCACGAAAGAATTAGACCGAAATCTTTCATTAACTGTCGTTAAAGTCGGCCACGCTCTTACTTGACCGACTGTACTTTGGTGATGAATATTTGGCACATATATGAAAATATTTCGGATAAGTGTATATCTGGTGTGAGATTCTATCTATAATGTATTATACATAAATTTTCACCCAATGAATGAAATCGAAAGTAATCCAAATAAAATTGGGATATAAATGGTTGTTTACTTATATAGTCTGAACAACTGAAATTAGTCGGTTTCTTGCTAAAAACATCAATATTCATTATAATGATGAGCTTGAAATATGTGATGATATTTTTTTATATATCATTCTAAATATGAAATATGTTGAATAGTAATTATATAAATTTAATATATGATTTTGTTTAAGTGCAATATTCATCGCCATCGTTGTATATTCATAAACTTCTTCTCCTCTGACTGACAAAACTTATTATCTATAAGAATGTACTGTGTTGTCTATTTAATTAAGTTATCTTATTTTCTTCATATATGTTTTATTCTTTCAATATACTCGTATGTGATCTGTCTAATATAATTTTATATGTTGATGCAGGCGATGAAATTACTTACACAAGTAAGTTAGGATTGTGAAAATCGATTTATACCATACATGTATAGAATTATAAATGTATTTACACATATGTATTTAAAAAAGTGAAAAGTATACACATACACTGTCACCTAATAATGTCAAAACGAATCACTAAATCGCACTCAAAAAGTTCACAACCATTGAGATATAAATTCACACAAACATTGCCATATGGTGAAAACAAAATGAACACTTTTTGAATTTAATTGCACAAATCAAATCGATACTTGGTAGAATTATAGTTCACTATAGATGAATAGAAGTCAAATCACTTTAGAGACGGCATCACGCATTTGACCATAATTGAATAATGAAAAATCTTTTTCTAGAGATGTTTGCAAAAATATATAATCTTCCAATTCCAAGCTTCTGAAAATATAATCTAGAAAAATCTAGAAAAAGATTTTGTTTATATAAATTTAGATTAATTGCTTAGCTCGGCTTGCAATTGTACGCACTATTAAAACCGCATGTTTAGATATCTCTAAATAGATGTTTTGATGTGTAGATGTAATATATTAATATATCCTAATATAGTGATCAGAGATTAAGCATGCTGCAATCTACTGTTATTAATATTTGATGTATATTCTAACATAGTTGTGACAAACAAATCGTAATAGCAATCGGATATGGATTTGTGTACTAATTGGCATTTGTAATTAACATTATCATTAACTCAGCTATTTCTTCATAAAGTAGTTTGATCTATCAACCATAAGCAAATAATTTTAATGTGGTATAAAATAACATCCTCGCTGAAATAAAGGGTAGTAGAACTAAGTTAGCGTTATAAATATTTTTAAAACGTATATATATTGCCTAAACAATATTAAGTTAAAGTATAAATAATTTTAAAATTTAAATTGAAATTTCATAGAACTAATCTTATATCTTGTGGTAGTACTAATTCCTTCTAGCAAAATATTTCTTATGTAATATTCGCAAAGCTTTTGAAGATATTCAAATTATTTTAGTTTTTAAAATAAAGCAAATAGATGAGCAAGGAATAACGGAATTTGTATATTTTAATAAAAACATTAACTCATTAGGAGTTATTTTAAATGTATGACAATTATTGTTTTAATTTTTTTATTGAATTATGTTTGCTCTCTATGTTATAAAGAAATAAAATCCGTGTCTGGTGGGGTTTTTTATACGAATTGCTAGTCGACACTCTCATTAATGATACAGGTTCACAAAAACACAGCTTCACAAAAACAGGTTGTTTGTTTTGGGTGTGCGACATACATTTTTCATTGTATTTTTTACCGCTGAACTCGAATCTGAAGTCAAAATTGGGGGTCAAAATACAAAAAAGGCCGAATCTCCGAACTAGAAATTTTGCTGTGTAATAATTAAAATCTAATCATTTCAGCCCTATTCTTGGCCTATTTTCCATCTAATCTTGGCCCTATTTACCATAAATTTCTGCAACGATTTTTTCATCTCTGTTGAGTATCTTTTTGCAGCAGTAAATTGGAGGTAACTGCAAATATGTTTGCAGATTATCTGGGGCAATGTAGAGTAAATATGTCACCAAAATATGTAAATATGTCACAGTAAATTTTGTCAACCAAGACAAAAAATGCATTGCAGAAATCCGTTGATCAGGTCATTTATGGAAAAAAGGGTTAGGAAACGACAAAAATTATAAGATTTCAATTATCAAACAGAAAAATGTTTAAAGAGGAGATTTTTTTTATTAATTAACTTTATATAGGGTAAGTTATTGTATTCGTCCAAAACGTGAAATTGAAATTTTTTTATTTGCTGATTAGTTTTTGGCAAAGGCAAGTCCAATCATTTCGGAGATACAGAGCAAATAGTGCAGAAAATAGAAATCGAGCTTTTGAGAGAATGGAGCATCCGATTTGAATTATCCAAAAAGCATTCAATTAGTAATGACGGAGAGAAGTGGTGATTAGTTTTTGACAAAGGCAGGTCTAGCCGTTTTGGTGATACCGAGTTAAATATGCAAAAAAATTGCAGTTTTTGAGAGAACTAAGCGTCCGATTTTAATGATTCAAAGAACTTTTTGCTTGTGTTGCCAAAACAAATGCTTTTAGGATTTTTTTGTTTTTAATTTCAAAAAAAAAAATTGAAAGTTCACTAATAAAGAAACTACAAATAAATAATTTTAACTTTACAATTCAGTTTATATTAATCTTATACATATTAGGCAATATCCTTCATTTTAAATTCGATTAATTATGTTTTGTTTATTAACTTTTCTGTAAACATATATAAGTTACAGTATTTATAATAACCTGTTTAAAAGCATTTAATATTCCTCGAATAGTTCATTAAAGTACAGAAAGTTCCAGCATTTTGCCTTAAGGCACGATGCCATTCACGACTAGTTTTGGTATATTTCGGTTTTCTGCAGTTTGACTTCCAATTTTGACTTTAGATTCGCGTTCAGCGGCAAAAAATTCATAGGAAAACATATGTCGCTTACCTAATATAGACAACTTCTATTATTTTGTGACCTGTCTAATAAACCAAAAATCTTTTAAGTTTTATTTGAAGGATTTCCAAAGGGTTTACGCGGTAAATTTATAAAAATTATTTGTCCAAAGTTTAATTATACATATTTATTATTGGACTTTTGATTTGCTTATGGTCTATTTGGTAACGAAGGTAATAATTACGTTCCTCTATGTAATAATTATGAGAATCATAAGAGAGCATTTAAGCCTCACTTGAAAAGTTAGTGCGTGTCAAAATTCTGTTTTTGTTTGATAGCTGAAAAGTAATGATCTCTGTTGATTTAGATATTGATCCAAGTCGGTTAAATATTATTTGTACCTCGATATGGTTGAATAAATCTGTCACTCTTTTTAAAAGCTCGTTTGTGCAAAAGTTCTATTTTTGTCCAAAAGCCTATTGTTAGCTGAAAAGTATTGATCTCTATATTAAGTTCTATTCTAATTGTTAAAAGTCGGTTTAATATTATTTGTTTCTCGATATGGTTGATTGAATCTGTCATTCGTTTCAAAAGCTCGTTTATGCAAAAATTTTATTTTTGTTCAAAAGTTTATTGTTAGCTGAGAAGTTTTGATCTCTATATTGATTAAGTTCTATTCTAATTGTTAAAAGTCGCTTAAATATTATTTGAACCTCGATATGGTTGAATGAATCTGCCACTCAGATATAAAAATTTAATTTAAACGATTTCCAATGAATCCCTATCCGTGCGTTATTTCGATTTGTCCAAGTGTTGCTCGTCGGGCGCAGATTTCTCAGGGGCGTTTGGTTACAGATGACCACCATCCGGCTCCGACGTTCACGCCGCCCGAGTTGCCAAAGAAGGTACACGTGCGCGCTCTGCCGAACGCCGCCGGTAATTTCAAATCTACAGAATCAATTCAATTTCTATTCTATCATCTACTGTTATCATCAATTCTGTACTTATATTTAGACTTTTTCATCATGACTTTCACTGCAAATACAAATCAACACAAAATTATTGACAAGGGCATTTACCAGAACCACAATAATAATAACTCAAGTTTTGCAAAACTTTCAGCACATATAGCACACCTAGTAAATTAAAACATATAATTTTATGATAAATGAAACAAAGAAGTACCTACTCAGCATACTCTTGCTGCTAACATAAGTTCATACAAAAACTCTTCGCTTTAGTCCACAGCCCGTGACCAAAAAATATAGTATTTTGGATCATTTTTATACCAATTTTTACTTAGTCCACCTTTAATACAAAAAATAGTCTCCATAGTCCAGTCATTATAGTAAGTTCACCTCGGAATTCGAGATACCCAGCTGTAAGTCTGTAAATACTTGTATATTGATCTTTGAAAGTTGTCTCAAAACTAGGGTTTGTCGGTTTTCAAAAACCGGTTTTTTGGCGAAAATTATGGAATTCGAAAACCGTTTTTTTAGTGAAAAAAGTAGGTTTTACTGTATAAATGGAAAATGACAAATATAAAAGATAGATGAAAGCGTTTTGATTCTTATAATCATATCATTTCTATAGCATTTGATATCTTATCAATCTGCAATGGTTTCCAGAAATTGTATATATTAATTTAGATTTTTATACCAGTGTATATATTAATTTAAATCAGCGTCACTTCTTCTTGAAAAAGTAACTTCTTCTACTCAAACTTTAAAAAAAAAAAATTAAACTCTAGAAGTGACAAATTAAAGAACGAAAAAATTAGAATTATTATATCAGGCTTTAAAAACAATTAAGCATAATTTGGTCGCAAGCATGAGAGTATTTTCTATTTCATAAAATTTTGTGTGTAATCAAAGGACATGTGTAACAATAAGTAGCAATTTGATAGACGTCATCAGTTTTTTAAAATCATATAAACAAAAAAATAATTAGAATGTTTCAGATTAATTAATTACAAATGCTCGGAATAGAAAATACCTGAGTTTAGCTTAATTGTTTTTAAAACTAAGCTTGATATTAACAAGTATGTATCAAAATGTATCTAGCATTTTTTTATTTAAAAATTTATTCGAAAACTTTCCTTTCACCATCATGAAAATATTTTCTTTCTTATATGTGAAAATGATGCATAAATAACGAATAATTATTTTCAAACTTATTTAATTAAGATAAACTATTATTTTTTAGTTCTACTAATTAAAATTAAAATAATTTTATTTACTATCTATAAAATTGAACTATAAATAAAATTAGTCAAATACTACTCTAAATTACACTAAATTTGCGGATCAATTACAGAGTCTTCGAGCAAAAATTTATTTTTTATATAAAATTCTAAAACCGGTTAAAACCGGTTTTTCAGTCAAATTAAAATTCGAAAACCGGTTTTCTGAAATGTCGGTTTTTGTATAAACCCTAGTACATACACCCCACTATATGTAGGTTTTGAAACAACTTTTAAATGTTAATATACAAGTATTTACAGACTTACAGCTGGATATCTCGAATTGCAAGATTCTTACCTGATTTAAGCTTAAATGACTGGACTACCATTTAGTTTGTTTTAATAATTCGTTTAAATAACAACAAAATAGTACTTGAACTGTAAATAAATCATATACTTTTTAACCTAAATGGTTATTTATATTATATCTAAATACTAACTAGTTTTTAAAAATGCAATTAAAACAAACTAAACTATTTGAGCCGGGCGCTTTCATTGCTTTTCCTAATTTGGCTTCAGAACTATTATAATCATTAGCTTTCATCCTTAGTTTTTTCCAAATTTTACAATAAAAAATAAAATGGGTTGCACGTTTTAAAAAAATCTGTTTTATTTTAAAAATATTCAATAATGAAGCATAAAACAATATTAAAGGCTAATATGAATGTATCGATCAATAATTGCATCGATTTTTTTTATTATAATTTCTGTTTTATGCATAATTATTTCATTTTCCACCAATTTCAGGCATGTGCTTGCATATAAACCAATTTATGTCTAATTTTGCTGTTCATTCCTCTTCATATTTTATGTTGCATTTGACCTGGCGCAGTTGAAATTACTTCACAAAAACCAGTAATATATTTAATTATTGTCTAACTTTAGCTAATTGAAAAGCTACGTTCGTACTCAATGAAAATTTAATTTTTTATATTTGTATAATTGGCAGTTCTAGACTAAGTACAAACTTAGCTTTTTTAAACTGTCATTGTTAGTTTATATTTAGGGGCTGTTTAGAATAGGTGAATATGGATTGATAATAGTAGAAATTTAGTGGGAAAGGTAATATACTTTACTAAAGACTTTTGATTCATATTTTAGGTGAAGCTGCAAGGGATCGAGAAGATTTGAACAGTAAGTGAATTAATAATATGGAAATATTAATAATATAATTTTACAAATCACAGTAAATGGTAAGAATTGGCAAGCACTAATTATTGGATGACATGTTAGGACAAAATCGTGGAAAAAATTTTAGAATGTGGTTCATTAGTGTCATGGTTTCTAGCTCCGAAAATGATGTGATATTTGGAATAATAATTGATAGTAAATTAAGCGTAGAATTCATTTTTTTTATAATTACATATAATACTTGATATCTTTTACGACAGTCATTTTTATGGCTTTTATAACAATTTATAAACGTTCTTTCTAATCACATTGTTTCATTTATATAATTTTATTCTTTTAATTTTTAATTATTATATTTAAGTATAGGAAATCAGTGCCACGACCAATTTACTACAGTTCTATCACTTTTTGATACTATTATAAAATTGATCAAAAAAAAGGAAATCTATGTATTTCTTCAATTAAAAACTCATAAATTCAATTGATAGAATGCAAAAATTTATTTTATCTCATGATTTTGAGTAATTTTGCGATTGCGTCGATCAGTGAAATCTTAGTAAATGTGGCTAATAATTACAAACTAATAAATTTCAGTTGTTAGATTTATTGCAAACTCATTTTGTTTAATTATTGTTAACTTCCCGTAGGGCAAGTTATAGTAATCGCAAAAAAATCAAAAATAAATTTTTTTATATATCTTTACGTTTCAGAGGTTTCTGAACATTAGAAAAAATGAATGTATGTGTGTGTGTGCGTGTGTGTGTGTATGCGGATACAAATTTTCGTCGACGATTTCGGAAACACCGATCAACCGAGTTGAATAATTCATTGATAAGCGGACGTGCTGATTAGTTTTTGGCGAAAGCAGGTCTGGTCGTTCCGAATACACGGGGCAAAAAGTGCCAAAATGGTAACTTGGTTTTTAAAAGAAAGGAGTGTCCGATTTTAATAATCCAAAAAACATTTTACTTGTATTGATAAGATGAAGAAATGATCAAATTTTCATGAAGACAGGCCTAGCGGTTTCGGAGATCTAGTGAAAAAAGTAAAAAAAATGCCATTTGGCGGTCAAAAATGATCATTAGACATATGCACATTAAATTATCAGATATTTTATAGAGATTTTAACAATAAGTATAAATTTTGTTTATATTCCTAAGGGTTCGTACTAATGTTTATCCGTTAGACGGCGACGCGTTGACATTTCGTCTCTATGCAGTTAAAGCAGTACGATTGTTTTGAAAAAAAAAAGTACAGAATTTCCAAAATATGTCAAAATAAACAAAAGCATTTTATTTCAAAAAAATCTTTTTTTCAAAAAAAGTAATTTTTTGTCAAATTTATAGTTTCTCAAAAATATAATTTTTTCGAAGTAAATTTTTTTCAACAATGTTAATCTTTTTAAAAAAATAATAATTTTTGGTACGGGAAGTTCCAGCAATATGCCTTAAGGCACGATGCCATGCGCCCCACTAGTTTATTATCTCATTTTTTATTGTTCATGATAAGTTGAGAAGCACGTGGCGCAAGTGGTAGAAATTTGACCTTGCAATCACAAGGTTCTGAGTTCAAATCTTGCGTTGCATACAATTTTATATCGAACTGTAGTGAAACCGATTTTCACTTGAAATTATAGACCAAAAATATGTTTTTAGGTAAAATTAACTCTTCTGGGTATTTAAAATATGTAAAAATATAATCACAACTGAAAAACATTTGGGTTCAAATCCTGCTTTACGTACAGCCTTATTTCAAACTGCAGTGAAAGAGATTCTCACTTGAAATTATGGACCAAAAATATGTTTTCAGGTTAAAATAACCTTTCTGGGTATTTGAAATATGTAAAAATATAATCACAACTAGAATGGATTTAGGTTGCCGTTTGTAAATACTAACAAAACAATTACTAAATATCTTCATAAAATAAATCTATTGTAATTTAAATTGTAGAAGTAGGAAATTGAAGTTACTTTTACATTTTCAGTGATAAATCGAAATCACAGAGGGTCAAGTATCCCAGGAAGTACACAAGTAGGAAATGCCACGAAGCAAGTAAATAAAGTCAAACCCAATGTGACAAGGTCTGATGGACTTTTATCACCTGGTTACAATAACAACAGGTAACAATTAACGTTTCTCAGCATGCTTTTGTGTAATATATTATATATCAACCCATGAACTATTTCAAATTTTCTTCGAAATAAAATTTTCACGAGACGCCTATCTATACAATGGCAATGTGCTAAAGATTGTTGAATTCGTGATTAAACTAATATTTTTTTATTTTGTCGAATAACTCGTATATTAATTCATAACATAATTTTTAATACGTTTGGTAGTCGTAATAATTGTCTTAGTTTTTTGTTTACTTTGTGAAGGCTCGGCGGCTGTTAATATATGTTATTTAATATCATTCAATATATGACACACTGATATGCTAATGTGTAAATGTGTATTTTAGAAAATTTGGGATTGCCAACGTCGCATTTTCAAATTTATAAAATAATTTCAGCATTATATGAAAACTAGTTAATTATAAATAACTTGTACAGGCAAAGTAAATTCTTTCTTTAATTTTAGTTCTATCTTCATCTCGTATATTATTTCACAAGAATAACATCTATCTAAAGTATGTTGATCAAAATAAAATTTAAACTTCAATGCGATAAATATGGCTTTCATCTGCTTGTGCATTTGAAAGAAGAAAGAAGCCATTTATAAAATGTTATACTTCACGTTTAATTTTTTTTCAATCTGTCATGGTTTTTATTGGTAATTTCTGTATTTTTATGTTATTCACTTTGGCAGTCTCGAAATGCACATTAGGTTGGGTTTTGAGAGCACATTGAAATGTGCACAGTATCTCGATTTTTACTTATTTTGTTTTTGAAAACAGCATGTTTACTAAACTAAACGTGTTTTGTAACCAAACTCCAAGATCTAATCATATTAATGAATTTTTTGAATTTATTTTTTAGTTAATTTAAAACAAATAACGTTTTAAATCTTTCTTATTATATATATTACGAACACTGAACAATCATAATTTTGAACACAAATTACTCTGCTTACTTTCGCGTGCAATAGCAATTTTTACTACCTATCTATTTTTCAGTTATCTCTTTTCTACTTATATTATAGCTAATATATTACGCTTTGTACAAAAAAGTATTTCTTACAGCACTCTCGACATCTCTATTTATCACAAATAGTCATGAATTTTAAAAATTATGCAGTCAATTTCCCTTTCATCTTCAAAACGTAATACTTCAATTTATATAGAAACTTTTATAGCTACTTCTTATATAATATTTCAGCTTTCAACACTGTGATTTGTCAAATCTGTTCTTAACTCTGTGATCGTGTTTTTCTATCACATCTCATAAATGCTTTTTATTGTTATTTTTATATTTTTCAACTATTTTTGAATATTTTATCTTGATTTGCTGATGCCTAAATTTTTGACAGGAAATCAATCAAGATTTATCGTTCAAAAATTAGAAAAATTTTTTGATCATTTTTGAAATAATAAGAAATGAATGAATAAATATAGGAATGTTTTATTTAAAAAATGGGTTTTGATGAATCAACCAAATTATTTATCAATATCAACTTAATATCAACTAAATTATTAAGTAATTCCAAATAGGGAGTCGTTTTTACGGTAACATTAATAGTTTTTTATTCAAGCAGAAACAAAGTGGTGTATACATTAATTTTTATGAGCATCAAAATAATGTTTAGAATTTTTCTCACTTTTACGAGATTTCTACGTCTCTGTTAATAATTTATTATATCGACCAATTTTAAATCAAAAAGTTATTATAAAAATGTAACGTATGTTCAAAATATTCTTGCGACAAGATTATCTTGGTGTAATTATAAATAATATAATTATAATTGGTATATAATAAAATAAATTTTAAATTAAAATCAAGCCAAAAGCAACTTTTTATACTTTTGCGAACATTTCCAACATCATATTGGTATTTTCATGATTACAGATATATATTTAATTCAAAACTAAATAATATTAATATTATATTATAAATTTATATATAAAATGTTTTTAAAAATATATTGTATTATGCAACGTGTTTTTTACTTCCAACTTCAATGTTATACTAAATTTCATATCGTGTTGACTTTAAGAATGGTATTTTATTATTGCTTTTGGAATGATTTTAGGTGTAAACCATATTAATCTTGATTTAGGTTCTAATATTTAAAGCCGAAATTCGCTATTATAGCTCCTAGATAATGTTAATGTCGTTAATTTTTTGACGAATTATTAGAAAATGCTGATAATTTTCTCATCACATTTTCGAATGATGCATATTTTATAATTTACACTTTAAGAAATATGCTTAGGATATCCAAGAATTCAACGTTAAGCCGAAACATGGTGATAGCGATTGTAATTGCCATGAAAAAAATCACAAAAAGTAAATTATGAGCTTTTAAGTGCAACCCAGATGCTTGGCGAAACTGTGGCTTTTGGGTTATTGCAGTTAATTTTTATTAATTCTAATTATTTTTTAATCCATATTTAATAATCTTTGGTTTCGTAATCGTAAATAACATTTCCAGTTCAACAATTAAAAATAATGGCACAATTGCCCCATGTTTTTCAGAATTAACACTGTTTTTTAAGCTATATAAATTTGAAATTATCGAAATTTATCGACTTTGAAGGGTAATAAGTAATAAAAAACTAGAGTGTATTGACAAGTTCCATCAAAAGTTCGCGAATTTAATCGGGATTGGAAAATGGTTAAATACGGATGCAAGACTAAAGTTTCGCCAAAGCTCTAGGTTGAACTTGAAAGCTAATTTTTATTAATTTTAATTATTTTTTATCAATTTTATTGATATTTGATTTCGTAATCGTAAACAACATTTCTAGATCAACAATTAAAAATATGACACAATTGCTCCATGTTTTCTAGAATTAACACTATTTGTTAAACTATGAAGTTAAAATTTTCAAAATTGGTTGTCCTTAAAAAGGTAAAAAAGTATTAAAATACTATAGTGTATTGGCAAGTTTCACCAAAAGTTCGCGAATTTAATCGGGA